ATTCAAATCACATGAGGCTGATTAACTATTTTCTAGCTTGTCAGCAGGCCCTAATAACTTGAACCCAAGAGTCCAAAAAGAATTGGCTATAGAGATCTTTGGACAACCCATGTTACTTTTTAATAATTTTTGAAATACCAGGGACATTCCACAAGATGGGAAGGGTGGTAATGTTGTTCCAATGTTCAAAAAGTGCAAGTGATATGATTTGGGTAACTGTAGGCAAGTTAGCCTGACCGCAATCCCAGTCAGATAATGGAAAAGCTGATAGTTGCTAAAGAATAGGAATATAATTAATTCCAGTCAACATGGTTTTATGAAAAAAAGGTTTTGTTGAACAAACATTCTTTGATGACATTGCCAGTTTGGTTGATAAAGAATTTAGGCATAAATTGGAACAAACTGCCAACGGAAGTGGTGTATTCTCCATCTATGTATGTCTTTAAATCACAAGTGGATGCCACTCTAGAAGATATATTTTAGTCGAGCACATACGGTTACTGGGCTTAGTACAGGGTAACTGGATGAAATTCTGTGTGCTGTGCTGGAGATGAAGTTGGCTGATCTGATGGTCCTTTCTGGCCTGAAAATCTCTGAATCTCATTTTCCTCTCCATGTGGATGTTTGGTGCAGTAGCTGGTTGTATCAAGATTACAGACCGTAAAAACCTTCTTGTGGGGAGTCAAGCAGCACCCAATTCTGCAGCAATTATGTGCAGCATTTTGTGAGGAAACTTCCCTTCTGTGCAAAATCAAGTCTTATCGCACAAATCCTCAGGAATGCTTAAATATAGGTGTCACCAGCACTAACAGCAACAGCTGCTCAATTCAGTGAAATATTTGTATTATAATAAATAGCAACTTCTCTTCTTGTTTTACAAGAGCAGAGTCAAAGTGAAATAGATTATCAGGTTTCAGAGTAGCAGCAGAGTTAGTCTGTATTCGCAAAAAGAAAAGGAGGACTTGTGACACCTTAGAGACTAACCAATTTGTTTGAGCATAAGCTTTTGGGAGCTACAGCTCACTTCATCGGCTGCATTTTTGCGATAGATTATCAAGTGAGTACATGCCATTTCATGAATGGTGACTCTTACTCATTACACTTGCAGTTAAGTCTGATCACAGAAAGATTCAAAATTTACTCTCGGCTATTCCCATCAGAAATTTCTGTGCTGACAGCAAATTACTTGAAAGAAGACAAGACGCAGTTTGGTGGATGTGGCTTAAAGAGTTACCTGCGTCTTTTCAAATATCATTCACTGACTTTTCAGATAAAAATGAAAATGCCCCTGCCCTCCCCCCCGGCCCAAATCCTTCATGGTCCCTTGCTGTAGCTCTTTTCCAAGTACAGTGAATATAGCATTAGTATTTAAAATAACATTTCAACTATGGCTTAATTCTATAGAAGTCATCAGAATTACTTGCATAAACAGTAGAGTTTATTAAAGCGAAAGTGTTGGGTTAATATACAACACTGGCAACCATTTTGTATGTTTCCACAAACTTGGCCAAACTCAGGTCTCACATTACTACAGTATGATAGAATTTTGGGATTAAAAAGAAAAGGCGGTGGAGATATTTTAACCACAGACGGAATTCTCCAAATTCCATGTAAGTGTACCATGTCGCATTTATGCTGTATGAATCTCACACCAACACTAAAAGCACTAGTTGGTTCAATACAGAAATCAGATAGTATTCTTATAAGCAGGCTAGTGGTGTTTACTGTTTTCTGTATTTCAGAAGCCATCAGAAACCACTCAGAACAGAAGAGTGCACTATGCTAAGCCTTGTACGTTTGCATATAGTTAATAAACATGATTATTGGGGAGCCGACTGTGCCCAAGCAGTGTCTTCATATTTTTGTTGTGTAATGAGCAAAAGACACCCTACTAATCTTAACAAAAGATTTATATCAGTAACACAATTAAACAAATTTCAATACATTTACTCATTTTTTCTTTTCTTAATTCATCTAACAACACACCAAAGTTCCTAAAGATTTCTTAATTTGTGACTACCATATAATCTCTGTGAAAACACTGCAGCTGGGTTTGCAACAAGTTGGCTGAATATTGACTTTTGATGATTTTTACATGCGTGATTGTATGTTTACTAACAAAGAACACACAAAAGTTGGGGTAATGTATTTGTCAGACCAGAACTATAGGTTCACCACTGGAAGTGGCATATCCTCATCTCTTCACAATGAAATACCAGTCAAAGGGACATGTCACCTGTTGGTCTGGGGAGTTGGCATGTCCAGCTCCCTCAGAAAAACCTGATGGTCACAGAGCCATGCCACTTGTGGTGATCTGAAACTACTTTTGTCACATCCAACGAGTCAAAACCCAGCTCCTTATTCAAGCCCTATGTACAACATGGAAATAGAAAGGGGGCGTGACATGATGCAGCACGTTGCACAGGAACAGACGTTTGGCTCAGCTAGTGGCAATGTCCCAACTACTTCAGAAGAGGGACGTGTCACTTGGGGTGAGCTGAGATTTATTTGGTCATGTACAGCCGCTCAAAAATCACTTGCTTATCAAAGCATCATCCACAATATGGAAGTGGCTCTGGGGGACATTCCACAGCAAATTGCACAAGAACAAAGCTTTGTGTTAGAGTAGCATGTCCCAACTCCTTCAGAACAATCTGGTCACAAGGGTGTGTCACTTGGGGTGTCCTGAGACTTCTTTTGTCACGTACAACCAGTCAAAACCCAATTTCTTATTTCATTTAATTAATTAATAATGAAGTGCTTAGTCATTTAAATTTTATCACGTTCAATACATTAATTTGATGGAATTTATAAAAATTGAATCTTACATTGATATATTTTTAAATAATTTTGGTCTTTGAATAAGGAAGAGGGAACCATCCATGAGGAGTTGGCACCATGAATAACATACTAGCTTTAGCCTTGTGAATAACAGAGAGGGCAAGTTAAAGTAGAAGAAATAAATTGACTAAGGAGCCATTAGTGGCATGGAGGATCCAATATGGATTAAAACTATTAAATAAAACTACTGGATTATATATGTTGTTATAATGAACTTCTAAAATGTTATCTAGGCCATCCCACCCGCAGTGTGGTAGGATCAGAGTTTCTGTAAGCCATCTTCAGTCATTCATTATTAAATTTTGTTTAGAACTTGCCAGTGAGGACATTTCCATTGCTTTCCTTGGAAGAATTTTCCATTGTCTGTTTTATCTTTTTCTATATTCTTTCTTCTGGGCTAAACCACAGAGTTTAACAGAATCCTTTTAGAAAATATAATGAGTTTAAGGTTCCCATCCATTAGGGATGTTACATGTTATAAAACAAATTTCATGCTACTTTACACTCAATTCGGGTAATACATTTTACAGCATATATTTTGGGGACTTTGATCACGTCAAATACGTTCAGAGAGAGGTTTCCTTAATGTTTTGTCTTCTTTTTTTTCTTGGATGAGCTAACATAAAATCCAGCTGACTTGCGACGACACTCCTTTCCCAGGCAAGGGTCTGAAGATGTTCATGGTTTTCTGCCAAAGAGTGCAGCATCAGACCTGCATTACTGGCCAAAGCGTCCTCTTAGACCAGATCTACACTATAAATTTACGTCAGTATAACTACATTGCTCAGGGGGTGTGAAAAATGTACACCACTGTGTGACACAATTATACCAACCTAACCCCTGACTTGGCAGTGCTATATCAACAGGAGGGCTTCTCCCATCAACATTTAAAAAAACAAACCAAAAAAAAAGAGACATTGCAATATAGATTTTAAATTTAAAAAGAATCTTTAAACTGCTGCACCACTAAAGTTATATGCTGCATACTTTTTCACAAAATGAGTTACTGGTTTAAAATTGCTTAGTCTTATAACTGAATTCACCTGAAGAGCTTTTACAAAGCCTTTTCATCTGTGTGCCCTTGTCAACTGAGATTCATGCTTACAAAATAAAATTTTAAAAAATCCATTATAACTTGCCTTGGCAGAATTCTATTTTTTTAATAATATGGATGAATAATATTGATGTTTTATGGATTTTTTTTAATTTTATTGATTTTATATGTTCATAGTTGAGGGAAATTACGGGGGGGGTACAACCCAATAATTATTTAAAGACCATGTCTTTGAGATTCAAAATGTTAAAGTTTTATAACACTTAAAGCACAAACTATCAACATCACATATCAAAGCAAATATCCTTGAATCAATCGCTAATAAGGTCTCAAGCAGTACTTTTGTTACATTGCCTCTCTGTGAATTTTGATTAGTATTTTTTTCATCAGTGCATGTGGTGAAATGGACATTTATGGATTTTTTTTAAAAATCGCATCCTTCCAAGCATATCTATAACTGCTGTTTATTAAAGAGAATTTCCTCTTGTGTATCTGAAGGAAGAATTCAGCCAATCAGTTTGAAGTGGTAGCTCTTACAAGATGCACCAAATATCCATGCATCAAATTCCTATTCGCTTCACGGAAGAGCTACTTGCTGAGGGCTTGCAGGATTGACCTACCATTTATATTTTATTGTTGCTTTGTTTATTCCCCATTCCAGTGTGGATCATTTTTTTTTAAAGGACTCGTGACAGTTTTGAAAGACCAATGGATTGCTTGTATATTGGAGCAATTTCGCTGTCTCTATCTGCAGTATCCGGGGGGCAGATTTGGCCTTGTCTGTATGCATAAAGTTCCCTCTGGACCAGAGTCTGTTCTTAGTTACACCCATGCTCTTCTACTGACTTCACTGTGGTTACGCGGGAGTAGCTGAAGGCAGAATGTGTATCTTTCTGCTCAGCAGGAGTCATGTGCACACACAAGATCAGAATTTAGCCTTTAGGGCCGAGTTACTGATATGATGAAAAATGTGGAGTGCAATACTCATTAGCCAAGTACGTTAGGAATGGTTACTGCTTTTAAATAATAAAGAAATGTACGTGGAAGCTTTACATGCTTTTCTAAGGTGGTGGTTCCCATCAGACCTTTTTCTTTCTTTTAACAGGGGACAATTATGGGATGGATGGGAAGGCTAATCTGCCAAATTTCACTGAGGACATCAACTGGCAAGGACTGGAAGATTTATACAGTGTGAATGAAAGTTTGTACGAATACAGATACAACTATAGACTTAGTCTGGATGACTGGACTAATTACTTGAAGGATCTAGATAGAATGTTTGCACTGCTGAACAGTTACTCTGAGCAAAATAAAACAGACAAAACTAAAACCGCTCGAAACAATGGGTACTTGGATGAATTACCTCTACCATTTACCTGGGGAGGACTGACCTCTGCCGAGTCAGACGAAGACTCAAGTGGTCTGATTGCAGAAGAGTTGCAGCCTATCGTGCCAACAGACTTGGCAACCCTAGCTTTGAGCACTGTAATTTTAAATCAAGTGAGGAAACTTGAATTAAATAATGATATTCCTGAGAAAAGGAGTTTGAATTCTGCACACTGGAGAAATCAACAAGCTGAAAAGTGGTTGGAGGGTAAAGAGTTAGACAGTTTTGAAATGCATTTAAGTGGAAATGGTTTGACAGAGCTGGAGTCCGGGCATAGCTTCATTCTACAGACAGTTAACATTCTTCAGAAAGACTCTCACCAGGACAGTGACCCAGTAGAGGATATTTTTGAAGATCAGATATACCTTCCTGTGAGTTCTGATGAACCCACTGTTCATCAAGCTGTAAATGTCTCAATCAGGGATCAATCTATTAGGGCTCAGAAAATGGAGACTATGTTGGAAAAGATGGAACATAACTTTGAAGGAGAGACTTCAAAAATCCTAAATGTAGAAGGCAGTGCCTCATCTCCACTCTCCTTGGATTAGATCAAATTGTAAACCATATATGGCTCTCTTTATTTTTGATCAGTAAACTAGTAATGGTAATCATGACAACTGACATTCCATGTTTATTGCGGATACATTTTGCAGCTGAAATGAGCCCAATGCTCTGTGTGTGTCTGTGTGTGTGTGTGTGTTTATTTCATATATACACATACTTTCGCACTAATTTTCGATAATTGAGAAACTAGGTTCCCACAGTATTAAAAAAGAAACAGTGTTAACTTTATAGTGCAATGATGCACACATTTCCTAGACTAGTAATGATTTCCTTAGCGTTACTTTTTCTGTTTCCAAAAGGTCCCATATAAATGAATGTCTCAGTCCACACATGCTATCTGCATAATGTATTTTTGATAAATTATTTTTAACCACTGGAAAATGTCACACTTTCATGTCACACTTTTGAGTAAAATGATATTGCACTTTTGTAATCTGTCTCCAAGACCATTTATTAATCTGATCATGTACATGTTCTTAGTTTGCTCATTGTTTCATGTAATTGTGAAATAATAAAATGGGTTGACAAGAAAGAGCTACCGCACGGATTGTGAAAACAGATTGGTCAAATATTATTTTAGCAGAAACTATTGCATGGTTTGTTGCCTTGACTTTCAGAAATGTATTTTCAGAAAGGTAGAGCTCATGGATGCTCACTATATGAGGATTTTTTTTTTAAATTGGCTTGTTTCCCTACTTATTGATACCATCAGTATTAAAAATCCATGATTTTTTCTCGATTTTTTTTGCTGATATCCTTACAAAGGTTTCTATGAGTAGAGTATGCTTTGTCACCATTTTTGGTTTTATTAGTCTGGACAATAGCTTGATGTTTTCAGAAATTATTGTGACTTTAAAATATTTTCTTAAAGGCATTAAAGGGAATGGTAAAATCATATTAGAGTTACATATTTTAGATACATGAGGTCAGAGTAGTAGGCTAGACCTCTTTTGTTGTTGTAATGTGTTCTAAAGGTTTTTTTTCCTGGATTCTACCAAACATTTAATATTTGTAAAGAATAATACAAAATTGACTTTGAAAATCTGTACAGTTGGTAACTTAATATCTTTCTTAGTTTTTTTTTTTACATAAGTAGCAAATAAATAAAATAAAAAGAATCACCTCCTACAGATGTATTGCCACCATTTCCAATTCACACTAAAGTTCCTTTTGTTATATGTTATTTAGCTTAGTGGGCTTTCTAGTCTATTGCAAGCACTGCAGGTTAAAATTTTGTTCTTTTGCTTTAAGTGTTTAAGTTGAACTATTTTAAAAGCAGATTCTTTTAGTAGGATTTTAATAATTTTAAGAAGCAGTCTTTATGATGGACTCTGTGACTATGTTAAAATTAACTAGCTGTGTATCTGATGTATGTGCCGGGGCTGAATGACAGAACAAACGTATTTATGGTCATGAATGATGCTATTTGTAAATAGATTTCAAGTTAGTAGGATAAAAACTGTGTTTTTTTTTTAAATCTTGTACAATATTTCTGTGATACTTTTATAGAACAATTCTGGCTTCAGGGAAGTCTAGAAGCAATATTTCTTGAAATAAAAGGTGTTCTACTCTACCTGCTTCAGAGAAGTCCACATAATCACATTTTCATAGTAAATTTACCCTTTTAAAATAATTCTAATTTAATTACATGTACTGTCTTAAGAATCCAGCCACAAATGGAGAAAAAGCTTAGAAAATGTCGTTACAAATTATTCATGGTGATTGTGAATATATCTTTCCTACCGGAGGTGCTGCAAAGTAGCTAGTGCCCAAAGCAGTAAACCCTTACTCCAGTTGAAGTAAAGGAGACAAATGGCATGATAAATGGCTGCCCACACGAGTAAAGCTTTGCAGAATCAAGCCCCTTTGTTTCCCCACCCATTCCAGTGATGGCCTCTATAAGTTACGTTTGTCTCTCCCCCATATAGAGTAACCTTCATTTCAGGCTGCATCCTGGTCAAGGCTGGTAATGGAGAGTTTAAGCAGCATGGACCACATCATGCCATCGTGAAGAAGGAGTTTTGCTGGTAGCCTCAAATGACATTTCTCCAGTTATGAGGGTGGACCTATCTTTTATAGGAGCTTAATTAAGCTACTGACAGGTTTCAGAGTAGCAGCCATGTTAGTCTGTATTCGCAAAAAGAAAAGGAGGACTTGTGGCACCTTAGAGACTAACCAATTTATTTGAGCATGAGCTTTGGTGAGCTACAGCTCACTTCATCGGATGCAAGTTAAGCTACTGTTGATCAACCAGTAGATGTCACTCTGGAGCAGTACACGCTCACTCCTGCCAGAGAGTGGATTGCTCAGTATACGATGCTGGAGTGCTCTCAGCCTTTGCCAAGATCATCCCATCTTACTGATTTTTAAAGTAGCAACCATGCCCTTGATAGTGCCAGATAGTAAAAATCTATTGATCCAGGACAGTTTTAGTAAAGGCTCAGACCTTAGAAGGGATCCATATGGAATTTTTTTTTCTATTCTTTATATTTATTTAAAAAGTTAAACTGCAGGACTCTTACTTTGCAATTGAAATGGAAAGTGACCAATGAATATTGACTCCATCATTTCCTGCTGCCTCCGTGCAATTAAAAATATTAATTAATTATTTAATTCGTTTCCACCGTGTGCACGTGAGGCTGACTCCACTTACTACACTTGAGGCATGATTCTGCTCCCCTTGCTCGCTTTCAGTAGCACCTGACTTGGTGAGTTCTCTTGGAAATCAGTGGGAATAAGATACTTCTCAAGGGTGACAGAATCAAGCCCTGAATCAACAAGAATTCACGGAAATGTTGTTTTGGGCCATTTATCAAACACCAAACAAAGGGGCACTGTCATATAAAGGAGCCAAGTTCCAGCAGCATTTGAATAATTTTTATCCCTTTTGTGGCAGTTCCCCCAGTGTGAGGGCTCAGTTCTGAAGCTGGTGAGGGGAAACTACTCTTTTTCTGATCTGGAAGTTCTGCGTGGGTCACTGTGACGCTGAACAGGATTTCCATACGTGTATTGCCAACTAATGCAAGCATCACTTAAATCTCTGCTTATATGGAGGCCTATATTGGTGGGGTTTCCTCTTTATTTTTTAATTTGTGCTCTAATAGCCCTTAATGCAAAGCCTCTTGTGTTCAGGAATAGTCAACTGTTTCACCCTTAAAACAGCTAAGTAGTCCAAAGTTTCACAGTTTAGTGGGCATTACCCTCATAACCAGACAGAAGATGTATGTAGAAATGGCTGATCATAACGTTCAGGCTAAATTGTTCTTATAAATGTATTGGATTTGTCACAAAATGGTGTATTTTTAAATAATATAAACATATGCCAACCATAGCTAGATGTATGTTACAGTACGTTTCAAAAAACCTTTTTTTTCTGTTCCCCCAAGCAAAATGTAGCACTGTAATAATCATCTTCGCTGTTTGTGACAATTCCTTTGGGCCCAGTCTATTGAAGGCAATGGATATTTTATCATTGATTTCCATGTGATCAGGATTTGGCCCTAAGAGGCTGATCCCAGTGTCCACTGAAATCAATGGATGGACCTGCATTGATTCCAATATGCATACAAGTGGGCCTTAACTGAATCCAGATCTTCCGTAATCAACTGGTGTGCACAGCCCTGCACACCAACTCACACACACACACACACAAAAGTGATTTTTTTTGTCATAAAGAAAACACGCTTGATATGCTATTTTTATTTTCAAATATCAAGTATTCAAGGGTTTTCTTGTAAACACGTTTACAATAGATGTTGACAGTAAATGTCATTAACCACAGTGTGTTATACATCATAAACATTATTCTAAGTTCTGCTGAGAAATATCAATAAAAGAACCTTAAGGTAGGCAAAAACAAATGCACCTAACAATTAGTCCCTCTCTTTTATCACACACACTCATATACACACACTACAAATGACCTAACACCAGTTTATTCAATATAACGCTTTGTTAAACTAAATAATTACAGGCCAGTGTAATTCCATGCTCCTAAGCCACTACCCAGATTTTTTGGAGGGGGAGAGGTATGCATTTTGGGTCAGCTCCTATTGAAGTCAATGGCAAAACTCCCATTTACTCCAGTGGAGAGAGGAGCAGACCTTTATGAGGAATGCCCACTATAACAGTGATTTCAACTTGCATTTCTGCACAAAAACTGAGTTTATATGTTTCTGTACAACTTTTTGGTTTAATACAGCTCTGCGATAATTTTTGTTTTTAAAAATGTTTTCTTCCAGAAGGTAAAATTTTGGTTGCCTTGCTCTCAGGCACACATCTTGATAAGTCGGCTCAATGATCCCCGTTGATCCCTAGCCCAGTTAAGTCCACACAAAGTAAGACAGAAAAGGTATTACCTTTCAAAGGTCAAAACCAACAAACAGGCCAAATTCGGTCTCCACAGAAACAAATGACAAAATACCTGGAGTGAATTTCAACTGGCTGAATTGGGCCCTTGACTTTGGCTCTTCATTTTGGTAGTTTATAGAGGAATATTATTAATGGGACAAATTCAGGTACCTTAATTTTAGTTTAAATTCTCATTGACTGCAGTAGGAATTTTGCTTAGTTAAGTATCCCCAGAATTTGGCCCAATCTTTTAGTTCACAGAAACCTTACTTTGAACAACTGTTTAGCAGTACTCCATAAAGGTATATTAAAACAGGTAATGTTCTACTGGAAATTAGTCATACACTACGTTTCTACAGGTTCTATAGTTTTATATTAGTACTGTTGTTAATGCTAAACCAAATCCTGTAGTGCAAGCAATATTCCCACTGAAAGACTAAGTAAGGACTGTAGGATTTGGCCCACTGGTAATTATGATCTTTGCAGGAACATTTCCAGATTTTCAAAATGAAAGCACATGCCGTTACATAAATGAAATATTTTGAATGTCAGTTAATCATGGTGAACATGCCTCATGAAATACTTCAATAACAACTAGCACCATGACATGCTTTAGCTATTCATCCAGAGCAGATCAAGGATGTTAAGACAGAAGGGTCTTCATTCTTCCTAGAACTGAAGAACATTTTGGACACTTCTTTTTTCAGGCATCCTCGAACACAGAGTCTTTTTACCCATCCCATCACCTGAACAGTAGCTTGTAACAGGAAATCTGGTGACAAGTTGGTTGAAGTGTGGGAAAAACAATAATACAATACAAACAACTGATTATACAGTGATCTTAAAAGTAGAGATCAGCCTGAACTAAAGAGCCTAAATTCAATAACCCCCACATTTTGGGACAGTTTCAACTGAGGTCTGAACTTGAAGGGTCAGACCCATCTTCATTTATAAGGTGATCTGTAAATTAACAGAAAACAGCTTATCTGTATAATGAGAGGCTTGTAGGTGTTTGCAATATGATGATTCATATTACTAGCTACACTTAGTCACAGTATATATTTACAGAAATGTTGGCTGTCTACCTGTATGTGTACAATCTAGTCTATGGAAATGTTTATATTTAACCACTACAAATTGCTAAAGGGCATAAAAAACTCTAATTTCCCATTGAAAAATGAAGCCAATGAAATGGACTGTCCAATTCTGAACATTTTAAAGGGACAATGTGAAGTAGTTCAAGCCCAACAGGTAAAGTACCTTAAGTGTTGTAACCTGGTAGGTTAACTCAGACACTCTTCTCGAACATGGAAATCAATCCTGCATTCCTCTCAGGCAAATCTCCCACAGTGGGAGTTCTACCTACCTGACGTGAATAGGCTTGAATTTATTATTTGCAATGCTGGTGCACGATGTAGCAGATCAGTGTTAAAATGACTCTAACTCCATTAGAAATAAATAAACTCTTGGAAATGGACCAGGGTAAACTTGGGAGGAAAGTATTCTCTGTCGAATTATAAAGACAGCATTACAAACTGGAGAGGAAATAGAATACAAACTCTAAATAAGAACCCGATAATAGGCTGATGTAAATGACTTCAATAGAGCTACATCACCTTAGAGCAGCTGAGGGTCTGACCCCCAAAACTCTACAATAGGAGACCTTGGGCCTGGTTCACCATTGCCTCACCCCAGTTTTACTCTAGCAAGGAGCCCAGTACCACTTGCAAGGTGCTGCCCAGTCTCTGTGGTCACTAACGTCAGTGGGAGCAGAGAGGACACTACACCGTGCTCAAACAGCATACTGAATACTGAAAAACACATTATTGGTCGGATCTGACCCTATGCTATTAAATTAATCAAAACTCATAGATTCTAAGGCGAGAAGGGACCATTGTGATCATCTAGTCTGAGCTCCTGTATAACACAGGCCAGAGAATTTCACCAAGTGGCTCCTCCATCAAGCCTATAACTTTTGGCTGAGCTAGAGCATATCTTTTAGAAAGCCATCCAGTCTTGATTAAAAGACTTCTAGTGACAGCAAATCCACCACATCCCTAGGTAAGTTGTTAATTACCCTCACTGTTAAAAATATACCTTATTTGTAGTCTGAACTGGACTATTCTAAAAATTAAATAAGGCTCAAATTAAATATTAATATCCAAAGAATAACAAGAGGTGAATTAAGGGAGAAGAGCTATCTAAGCTAAAGGGCACAAGAACAAATGGGTATTAATGGCCATGAATAAATTTATGCTGGAAAGCACAAGGTTGCTAACCACCAGAGGAGTGAGGTTTGAAACAGTCACTGGATAACAGTAGTGGGGTAAGAATCCTAACTAGTTTTAAAGGTGGAGTTTATGAATGGGATTATATTATGGTGATGCCTGCAATAGCAGGAGACTGGACTTGATGACCCAGGAGGTCTTTTCCAGTCCTATATCGTAGGTTCCTAAAGTACTGCACTGCTATTTAAAGTCACTGATACTACATGATGAGCAATGTAACAGTTTTCTGTACATTTTCACCCACAGAGATAGATGGTCATTAGAGGCTCAAGAGTCATAAACTAATCAAGACATTCTGGAATAAATGGAGTCAATATTTCAACCAGGATCTGATGCCAGCATGGTAACTTCAGATGCCAGTCAGAAAAGGAGGAAGCTGGCAAGAGAGGAAAATCTATACTCTACAGACCAAATCCTGAGACTACTGAAGCCCATGGAGATTTTGCCATTACCGTTAATTGAAACAGGATTTGGTCCTCTCTGACTTAGTCAATTTGTTCTAGTTGTAACTTTAAAAAAAATTCCTCTGAAATTCCTGAACCCTCATCAAAATTGTTTATATCTATTTAGAAATAATTCTTTCTACTGTATGTATCATGGCTTCTACTCGCGTGCTTCTCACCAACCAAATTTCACAAAAGACAAGATCCCCTCCTCTATTCCCAAATGCTCTGAGACATGCACCTGCAAGTAGAATATAACTCTGGCTTCTTATCACAACCTTCCACCTTACATATCACTAAATGTCAGCAACAGCCAGTTGTAATGCCCTCAGTTTAAGACTGTGGATGAGGAATTAGTACAGGAAGCAGATAAAAAAGAAACAGTCTCTCGAAGATTCAATCTAGTGGGAAAACTCATTAAAATGTTTTGAATAATCAAATGCCAGAACATGCCGTGTGGGTCCTGGAATGGAGGTGCCTTCTGTGCCTAAATCTTCCGCTGGAAGGGGTCAGCTGACTCTTCATTTCCCCCATACCTCACAGAGAGTTTTAAATGAAGATGGGGGTGGGGGCAGATGTGGAGCAAACTCCCCTTTGCATTCAGTTTAAGGTCTGTGCGGAATGGTAGCAGTGCAGTCCCAAAATGCAGCTATCCAAACTCTCTGGGTATTTTCACTTAGTGGAAAACCAGAACAATTTGTTTAAAAAGATCTGCATGCATTTGCAAAAGATAGCCAAGCATTTCCTAAGGACAGCCAAGCAGTTCCTGGCAAACTAAACCTGGATACTGTGTTTTCTGAGAAAAGCATGGATTTGAAGTTAGCAATAGCCACCTATAGCAGATAACTGCATAGGTAGTTACAGAAATATGCATCTACTTGTTATAGTCTCTAATCTATGGGTATGATTATCATGTCTTAATGTTATTACAAATTAATACTGTAGTTTTTCACACTGAGTTATACTTTCATATCCTGTGTACTAGACTGAATAATATTACATCCTATCAAATTAAAATGAACGTACATTTTAATAGGATAAGGATATGATGTCTTAGAATTTGAAAACTTTACCTGCTATATAACTTTTCTATGGCTTAAAATGTTATCAACAGTACTTCAAACAGTTATGTCCATTTTTAAATCTTATATCTGTCTTAAAATAGCCCCATTCAAGTTCAGCTGGATTAAAGACTTTGAAAGCAAAATTAACATGCTGCATCAACAATTATCCAGATAAATTGCATAGTTTAGACACGCTCACTTGTGCTTTGTAGCAGAACTCACAGTAATTACTCATCTTTATGAACCATGATTCGGGGATGCAAAATTGATGATCCCTTTAAACATTTTCTTAAAGTCTTGGCATCAATGATACACATTTCTGTCACCCTTCTATTGATTTCTGCCATTTAGAATACCTCACCCTTATTTTGACACTAGATCAGAGCAGGGACATTTAATGGACACACCCGAAGTAATTACAAACACAAATTTTTAAAACTCCATTATCTGGAAGGGAGAAATAAGAACTTGGGTCATTTTGAGGTATCCAGCCCTCAAGTATGCTATTGATGTTTGCTTTAAATTTTGTTGGTTTATCATGTGACATGTAGATTAAAAAAGAAGGCACGGGTGTTTCACAAGGCGCCATATTTAAATCAACCAACAAAACTGAATTTTACATTTTCAAGCCTGGGGGTCTATATTTCAGCAGTGACTTCTTCCAATGCATTTTCAGTTGTGGAATTTATTGCTTCTGAAAAGGGGCCAGGATATGTCTGGGCTATGTAATTCATTCCTTGTGCCAGACAGACGTCTTCAGCGTGCTCCCCCTGAGCACTGAAAGTAGGGCAGGATCGAGTCCGTGCATAGTTTTGTTGAGGTCCAGCATTGCCAACCATCTCGCTCACTGTGTTTACAGGTGAAGCCCTCCATCTTTGCCTCTGTAGCTGATCTTCTTTATATTTAACGGAATACCAGGCCAGAAAAATAAAAAAGAATCCCACAAATTTGAGACCAGCTGCCAATCCAAAGTAAACGAAGCGAAATGAAGTTACATCGTATTCCCAACAAGATCCTTGCACACCACAATCCTGTTGCCAAAGCATGCACGTGGTGTCAATAACAGCCCCAAAATAAATTGGAGTAGGAATGTAAGCTGTAATAATAGTAACAAAACATAATATTTAGTGGTGAGTGTTTAGAAAACTTTAAGCAACTAGGTACAATGCAATAGCCCAGTTTTATGTTGTTCTAATTATTATTATTTTAATACCATCCAAAAGTATGGTAGGCACTTCCTAAAGCAATGAAACACTGTCACTGCACCTAAGGAACTTACAAACTAAGGCCCTAATTCAGAAAAGCATCCCTATTAAGCATGTGTGAAAATGCTAACTGCAAGTCCCACTGATGTCAATGGGACTTGAGCACATGCTTAGGGGAGGTCCAGAATCAGAGCCTGAGGCCCGACTGATCCTCACCTGTGTGAGTAGTCCTACTGAGTTCAATAAGACTACTCACACGTGTAAAGCTAAATGTGCCCTATTTGTCTGTAGGATCAGGGAGTATTTTTAGACATGACAAAGGGGTGGCAAGGGGACAGTAAGGAAGGACAATGGCCAATACCAGTCAAGGTGCATCTACGCTGCAAAAAAAAAAAACATGTGCCCGTGAATCTCGGAGTCACTGGGTCAACTTACTTGGGCTCATGAGATTCATATTATAGGGCTAAAAATAGCAGTGTAGACATCCCTGCTCTGGCTTGGAAACCCGGTGAGGGGGTTGTACCTCGGAGCCCAGACTCCAATCTGAATGGGAATGTCTACACTGCTATTTTAACCCTGTTGCCCCATGAGCCCGGGTTAGTTGACCTGAGCTTTGAGACTTGCTGCCATTGAGGGGGGGAACATTGCAATGCAGCCATACTCTACTTTTACATGGCTCTTCAGTCATGGCCACTGAATATCATGATGGAATAATTTTTTTCCCCACAAGGCCCATCAGTTAGCCTCCACGTCCCACTTCTAGTGATACAATATGGAGCCCAATATTTTAAAAAATATATTTTCACTATGCAGATGTTACCATCTTCACCACGGCATCTCCATCACATGGTTAGCCAGTGCTCCTGCACTTAATGGTTGTCTACCATAAGTTTCTTTTGTTAGACGGTGACACCTCAATCCAGCTCCTATCGAAGTCAATGGCTCCACTGACTTTGATGGATACTGGATCAGGCCCTTCAGCCTTTGAGAGAGGGACCATGTTTCATTTTATTCAGCTGAAACACAATGGCACTCACCCAATAAAAAATAATAATTGTATTAGTCTGAATACTTTCCTGCTAGCAATTTCTTCACAAATGTGTGAGGCTCTTTGCCTCCTAGGGGGAGAGACTATTTATGACCTTCTATTCTGCTTGGGCTCCTAAATGTTTTTATTTGAGAACCTGACACATAACATTCACATCAATAGTGTGAATGATGTCTTATAGAAGCTTTTTGGTTCCTGCATGCAAACAAGGGTATGCCATGCCACAGCCTAGCAGAGGTATGGCCAGGAAATGTTGGTATGACTTGTAAATTGTAAATCTCTAAATTGTAACAACTGGAAGACTGGCCCACTGATCTTCCCAAAATTACATTTGACCCCTAACCGTGCAAATAGCATTTTTTAGGAAACACGTGAACGATGTGAAAGCAGTAAGTCCTTACAGGAATTACCCAGTAGAACTGAGCAAAATATTAAAGCATGAAACACAAGTAGCTGCCCTTATGAAAAATGACAGAGAACAGAATTATTATTTTCGAACTGTCCCTTTGAAGAGAGATTCTCTTCCATGCAAACAGGCTTCAATTTCACCAGGCTGCTACCAGTGCAGTTGGCTCAGTTTAAGTACTCATTCTTTGTCCTAGAAACGTGATTCACATTTTGTAACAAGTCATAACAATCCTCTTCAAACAAAATTTCCTGGTTAGTTATTAGATGGAACGAACCAGCCTTCTCCTCTCATTCTTCATTATAAATAATCATTACTGGCAGTATTTGAACACCTAAAGTGCTTTGGTCAGGCAAGATCTGACTACTTCAGAAGCTTGATAGGAATATCTTTGTGTAAATAATAACCTAACAAGCTTGCTTTCTGCTTTGAAGAAGACTAATTAGGAATTAGTCACTAAAATACAAACATGTCTTGTCTTAGAAAGCAGAGAACTGGTTTCTGGAAGGGTAATCTAGCATCTGAAGAAAACAAAAATACCAGTTTAAAAAAAAAATCTCATGACAAATTCCATTTAGGAAAAATATTAAAATCTGGACTGGGTCTATAGGGTGAGCTGCCTTGTTTGATATTCATAGACAGCTGTTCAGGATGGAAGAACAGATGAAATCACAGCCTTCCACTGCTGGGGTGGCTCATTAGGGTTGGCCTGGAGTCTCCAAAACTTAAAGATTAATCTTTAATTAAAGCTTATGTCATGTGATGAAATCTCCTAGCATACATCCAACCAAAATTGGCAACCCTATGGCCAATGCAGAAAATGGGGTTGTGGTTCTTAATGTGGTAAATAGAGGTGTCCAGGAATGTTTTTGACAGTATGTTTTTCATGGGGAAAAGCCGATTCATCAAAACCAAAACATCCTGTATTAAATAAAGGGTCACTTTCAACAAATTTCCCATTTCACAAATGTTTTGAAATTGTTGAAACAACCTGGCTTGATAGTTTCAAAACAAAAAGTTTCATTTTTCAGTTTGAAATGACTTTTTGTTTTGAAATGTAAGTTAATCTATCAGAAATAAAATGTGAGTAAGTCAAAATCTAAACACAACATTTTCACTGACCTGATCCAAATTTTGGGGGAGATTTTTGGTTTGTGAAAATGTACAAGATTTTAACAGTTTGACCTGATTCAGGATGGTAAAGTTTTCAAAACCTCTAAAAGTCTTGGGGGAGGGGAAAACTATTTTCTACTCCGTTCTAGTGGTAAATACGGAGTCATCATGTGTAAAGAATGCAACAGACAAATAAGAAATATGGAACTGGTGCAGCAGTAACCAATATTAATGCCTGTTTTTGCCTGAAACGTTTTGCAAACGTTTTGCTGCAAAGGAAGCAGCGGCAGAGGGAGCAGAAAATGAAGCCATTCACCCTGGGTCCCAGTGAGAATTCTCCAAGAGCTGATACTGGAAATTATTTGGTAGAACAGGCTAGAAAATGGTATTTTCTTTGGTAGGAAAGGAGGGGGGATTCAAAATAAACAAAAAGTTTTGCTTTTCCCCCCAATTTTCCGTGTATGGAATTCTTCCAGATTTTCAACGAAAAATCGTTTTTCAAAACATGTTTACCATTCAAAAATTAACTGACATTTCTGTGAAAACTTTTGCATAGATTTTTACTTTTCATGTAAAAAAGGTTTCAACCAGCTGCACCATTTAGCGAATAAAATTATCTAGGAAAGGCTAGCAACAAAGTAACACAAAGAAAAGGCTGCTGAACAAAGGGAGCTGTTGAAATTCCAATGGAAATTCCCAATAAAAAGATATCCGCTATAATCTGTTGCAACTGCTACTTTAGGGAAGTGTTGAAGGAATGGGAGCTTAAAACTGCTGGTAGAAAACTACTGCTAAAGAATGGTGCAAAATCCAGGTGTTTATTTTCTGTCAATGTAGGTGTCTTTGTCTCCATGGTGCTGGTTGGCCAATTCAGTGCAATGTGGTTTGTATAAACCAATGTAGTGTAAAAAAAAAGTTGCTAGGTTCAATGGTGATTTTCGGCTCCTACTGCTATTCACTGGTGGAATTTCCCTGTTTTACAGAATATTTGTTTCTGGAGAATTTTGTGAGGATTTTGCAAATGGTGTTGTTCAGGGAGCTATCAGTGCTTACATTTGTTATAGGACTTACCAAGAGTTCGTAATAAAACAAATTGCATTCCTAGTGCAAAAGGCCGCTCACCATCTTCCACAGACCTAGCAGGAAAAGAGAGTATCTTCTGAAGACATAGTCTCAACAAATAATCTTTTTAGACTGTTTTGGCAGTACTGTCCTGGTCTTCTCCAGCTGTAATAAACCCCCGCTGAAATTTCCTCAGTTTATTTGGTAATGAGGATAAAACCTAGCAAAAAATCTCATAAACTTGAACGGGAGTCTTGCTTGAGTAAGGACTGCAGAATTTAGCCCATAGCTGTTAGAATGGTCTGTAACACAATTCTACAGTAGCTCATGGTTTCTGGTAATACTTCCCAGATAATCTAATCAATGGAACTTCTCTCAGTGAGTGCACATCTGAGCTAGATCAGAAAACATATCAGTAGAAGCATACGACAGATTTACCAAGGCCCTAATCCAACCCCCCTGAAGTCAAGCGGAGGTTTCCCTTTGGCTTCAGTGGGAACAGGATCAGGTCTTTAAAACATCGGAATACAAAGCAGCAATGTATCTGTGGTACCATTTATATATAATTACAGTAAACCACAAAATTTCCCTCTAGACTGTTTAAATATTTTGAAATACTATAAATTAGGACAATTAGCCAAGTCTTCACATAGTCTGACACTTAGGTTAAATAACAGCCCATTTTAAGCACACGTTTACTACATATTTTGTGTGTACGCCTGCACTCTCTCTCTCTCTCTCTCTCTCTCTCTCTCAAAAGAACACTAAGGTTGTGAAGACAAGCTCCAAAAATTTAGGAAATGCCAGAATTAAGTTACCCTTTCTAATCTAAATTGGGCTGTTTTGTTCATATGCATTATGACACAGTCTTGAATTACATAACGCTTTTACCGTTCCACACCAGGGCCAGTTTTAAAACTGGAGTTTTGTTAAATTTAGTATCTACAAATGAACATGCACCGCTAACGTGAGGCCCGCTGCCACTGAGTCCTTTCAGCACACACTAAACTCAGCTGCTGCCACCAGAGCGGTCCCCTTTGACCGCCTGAGCAGACCGTCAATCCCCAGACGGACAAAGTGCAGGGAAATCTAACCCAGACATTCTCTTGAGACGGTTACATTCTCTTTTTATTCCACAGGCCCCAAGCGTCCTTCATTGCACAGGATCCATAGTGCTCCCTTAAAGAGAGCTCTGCAATGTTCTGTTTTCTCTTTGTTAGTCAATGTGTGCCCCTCCCCCATAGCATATTTACTGCACACTATTCAAACCCTGCTCTGAAAACTGAATTGTTCATTTCCTCATGGCCTTTCTATGGCATTCATCGCAATGAGATGAGCAGGTATTAGCCCCATTTTACAAATGGGGAGCCGAGCCATCAAAGGTGAAAAGTAGCCACTATTTTTGAGGCCCATACTCCTCGGGCCTGATTTTTCAGAGTGCTTATTGCACGTCATATGGTCAAAGCACAGCTCCCACTGATTTCAGCTGCAGATCTGAGTGCTCAGCATTTCTGCAGATCAGACCCCAGGGTCTCAAATCAGGGAGTCAAAAAATGTAGAACGCACAATTAGGCCTCTATTAACTAAGGGCACTGAGCTGTTGTAATGCAGAGCATTGTAACTCTTAGGCAGCTGACCTCTCAGTGCACTTCATAACCCTGAGTAGGCACTCACGCTACCCATACAATGACAGAGTGAGCAAGAGAGCGCCCAAGAATGGTATTCACAAAAGCCACTCTGCCAAGTGGGGAGCTGGTTAAGAGATACCACGCAAAGGGGTCCTGAGCCCTGCCCCTCAAAGGGCTTTAAGTGCCTAATTCCAGGCTGAAAGAGGCACCTACGCAAGGGCAGCAGAGCCTTCCCAAAAGTGGGGGGGGCAGAATCCCCCCCTTGGCCACACCCCTGCCCCTCTTCTTCCCCCCCAAGCCCAACCCCCAGCCAAGCTGGAAGCGAGAGTGGGACGTGGGAGTGAGGGCTCCTACACCCGCCAGGGGAGGTGAGAGCAGCCCCCAGACCATAGCCCCAGGCCCCTGCCCAGGGCAGGTGGAGGGTCCGTGGCTCCCCTCAGTTGCCCGTGCAGCTCTTACCCCCGGACCCAGCTCTGGCCAGCTGCGGGGAGCCACGGGCCCTCCATCTGCTGTGGGCAGGGGCCCTTGGGGGTGGGGACATAAGCCAGGGACTACTCTTAGGTTCCCCCCACCCCCATATCCAGGGCAGGTGGAGGTGCCTGGGCTACTCACAGCTTTCGGCCTGACTCGGTGGGGTGGGGGGAAGACACCCTGGGGGAAGAGGAGAGGGCCAGGCCCATCCACTATCAAAAATAGGAGGGCCATGGCCCCCTGCCCCCCTGTTCTGGTGCCCCTGCACCTATCTCTGCTTGAGATTCACAGCCATGAAGCTGATCCTGGAGTTAGGCACCTCTGGTTAAGCACCATTTCTTGTAAGAAAGGCAGCAGCACACACCTAACTCCACCCAAAGGTGGGGTGGGGGGGGTAGGAGGCACCCTCCGTAATGAGCTTTATCCCGGTGGTTAAGGCACTTTCCTGGGATGTGGCTGATCCAGGGTCTATTCCGCTCTCACCCTGATGAGGTAAAACGCCTTGAACAGCCGTCTCCCACCTCTCCGGTATGTGTCCTCCCCAGGGGACCATAGAGTCATTCTCTCTCTCTAGCCCAAGGGATAGTTAATTATGCACCTCGGCACAGTTTCCACAGGGAACACTGAGAGAGCACCCCATCAGACTATCCCACAGCCTATGGGTGAGGGTACTCACCTGACAGGTGGGAGACCCCTGTTCAAATCCCTTCTCCTAATCAGGCAGAAAGGGGAGTGCACTAGCACTGGGCTAACAGTTGTAAGGGAGGCCACTGCCCCCTGCAACGCATTGCATGGAGTTAGCTGTGCTCAAAGCACACCTATTGGATTTCATTCTGCAGGCAAAATAGTGGGGTCCATGCCTAGTTTGAGAGTCCCGCTGGGTCTTAGGCATGGGCCACGCCCTGGGGCCTGCCTGAGGCAGCCGTACACATGCCCAGTGGCAGAAACTGAGGTCCTAGAGAACTTTAACAGTGAAAATTTAAACACTTAAGGAATTTAGTCACCTCCAGAGTTAGGCAGCAGCTGAGCAGGGATTTTGCGACTGTCAGTGGTGCCTAAATCCAACAGTGGGAGCTAGGTGCCTAAGTTCCTTTGTGATTTTGGCCTTTAGTGGCGATCTCTAAGAAGTTTGGCATAAGTGACTTCAGTGTTGCCAACGCCAATCATCTGTTCACACGTGTCAAGTTTTTGGCTGGGGCTGGAGCCCGTCTGGTGATGACAAAAGCTGCTCCAGCCTTTCAGTGCATCTGAGCCTTCTGATTGGCGGCCCACCCCACTTCCTAGGACAGAATAACCTAGGACAGACTAGGCAGAGCTCTCTCTCCCGCTCCAACCCCCCACAGCAACCAGGAGAGGCGCAGGGAGCTGAAGAGCCCAGAAGCTCTGGGCGGGTTCGCTCCTATGAGCAACAGGGACAGGATGATGCATCTTTGCCTTCCCCCTCCCTGCAACACCCAGCCTGGGAAGGGACAAAAGGGGAGGATGAGCCCTTGCAACTGACTCCCAGCATCGACGAAGGCGAGGGACCCTTACCACCACCCCCAGACCTGGGAGAGGTGGGTGAAGAACCCCAGGAGAAGCAGAAGTGGACGGGGGGAGGGTGCACTGAAGGGGGGATCAGAATTGAGAGGTTGGGGGCGCAGGGCATGAACTCATGGCATGTGGATGGCTGGAAGGGAGCAGAACTCATTACTGGGCAGACGTCCTAGCTCCTGCAGCAGAAGCCAAAATCACCGTACCCAACAAACTGGGGAGAATGGGCAACATTAACTGTCGTACACACGCTGGGGGGATGGGCAGGTGAGAGCAAAAATCATATGAAAGATGAAAACACAGTATAATCATTCTTTTAAGAAAACACATGAATTGGGGGCGGGGGGGTCCAACACATCAATTTTGATCTGCTGCGGGCCAGGGTGCTGACTTTGATCCTGGGAGCTCGGCAATACTAGCATCAGCCAGGAACGCTGTGGCAGAGCCAGGGAGACACTCCCATTTCCAAGGATGCATTCAGTTGCCTTAACCATCCTTTCCTCTTCCTGTAGTCGCCTGCCTCATTCACTTCCCTATGCGTCAGCCCAGCCTCTCTTCCAGCTCCTCCAGAATCTTTTAGTGACGTTCTAGCTGCATGTCTCCGTAAACCTCCTGATCACTCGAGAAGGAAAAAGCTGGATTGGGTGGGGGGGCCGGAGGTTGCTCTGCAACTGTGGAGCCCAGTTCCGGTCCATGTACACTCACACCTACAGGTAGAGTGTACTCAAGCCTGTGGCAGAAGCAGCATGTGATCGTGTAATTAAAGTCTGTGTTGCAACACACACGCAAGGTGGTGAATTAAGCTTATACAGACAACTTTAATTCTGGCATTTGCTAATTTTTAAGTTTGCAACTTAATAATGTTCTTTTAACATGCTGCGTGTGAGAGAGAGAGAGCAGGCATGTGCTTTCCTAGGTTTTTAAAAAGCAAGCTGAAAATACAGAAATTCCATCACGTGGTACCATACGTCTCATCAGGAGGATCATAACTGCTAAATCCACCACATAGACTCTGCCACTTGAGCTCATGGAGTAACTGATAGCAGTAGTAGGTTGTCCTCCTACGTGGCCCAGCACAAGAGGAGGCTAGAACACATTGCCGGTGGGTTTCACAGCTATTTGCTCATAGCAGAGGAATGATGTGACTCAAGAATCCTGGGTTCCATTCTAAATGTGATTTAGACGGCACAGACTCTTCTGCCCAATCCCCCAAACTTGACCTTTACTCTCCTGTCACAGTTGTGTCTCTGCCCCACCCCAGTTCCCTATACTTCTTCTCACCTAGCCATTCCCAGTCTCCACCTCCTGCTTCTCATCCAAGTCCCAGGCTCCTTGCCCAGCAAGTCCAAGTCTCACCCTTCTAAATAACCAGCCCCAATCTTTCCCCATATCCTGCACCGATGCTCCTTTCCCAAACATTCCCCATCCCAAACCCACAACTGCTTGGCCACAGTGTCCTTGCCCAGCTATCCCCCACTCAACCTCAGCTCCTTCTCCTCACTATGCTTGCCTGGCTATTCCCAGTCCCCACCACACCCCCAGCTCCTTATTCCTAGTCTCCTTGACCAATCAGCCCCCATTTCAATCTGTGTATCTCCCCCTCACCTCCAGTCATTGCGCCCCCCCACACACCTCTGTTCCCCAATTGGCTCAGAATTTCAGCCCCTTTGCCCATCCAGCCTCAGTTCTTCCCCCATCCCTGGCTCCCCATCAGGTCTCCCTTCCATCATCTCCTTCTCCATGTCCCACGCCTTCCCAGTTCCTGTCTACTTACCCAGCCAGTCGCAGTCTCTTCTCCAACTCCTCCTTCAATCTCAGTTTCCACCTCCACCCACTGATTGCCAGTCTCCCCTCATTTCCCTTCCCAGCTCCCAATCCTAGTCTCTTTACCCAGACAGCCCACCTTTCTCCTCCACCATCTACCAAGCCAAGTCTTTGCCTCCCCCATCTCACAGTCTCAGTTTCCCTCTCCGCCCCCTTCCCCATCAGCACCTAGTCTCAGTCTCCCCTCCCAAGTCTCCTTGTCCAAATTTACTCTCCCCATCCAATTCTCCTGTTCCAACTCTTGTTCCCTCTGCATTTGAGTCAAACAGCTTCTTTCTCCGTGCTGTATGAGTACCAGGGAGTGTGAGGAGGTTGTCACTGAGTGCATAGAAGAGACAGGATCCCTTCTCTTAGTGCCAATGACCAGCCCACCTTGGCCCAGAGGAACTATGAGCGGTCTTTATACGGAAAGTCTGGCTTTGCCCCATAGGACTGTGCTGAGGGGAGCACATTCAGTCAGTCTGTGGAGATGGTGTACGGAGAAGTCCAGTCACACATAACAGCTGTAAGGGGATGGAGCATGCTCAGTGAGGACGGAGTAATGGGAACAGTGGGTAATAAGTGATGTAATCTTAATGATGGGCAATGCTACCAGACCTCCTTATACTGACTCAATAGGGCAATAGATCAGGGGTCCTCAAGTTACTGAGTCGTCTTGCCAGCACGGTGGTAAGTTGTGCCTCCATTTAAGTCCATGTAGAGGAACTATAGTCACAATAGGGGTGGGGAAGACTGGTTTGAGTGAAATAAAAAAGCTCCGAAGTTCATCTTGGTATTCTGACACTACAACGAAACATACTGATGTCTGAAAAAGACTGCTTTGATTAACTTTTTTAAATTATTATTTTAATTGATTTCATGTCCGCACATCTAAGTTCCTATGAAACCCAAGAAAATACTGCAAGAGATTCCATTCTACCATTAGTTCTGGTCCAACTAGATATCTGACAAGACAGCTTCTTCTGGCAAGCTTCTAAACTCTGAAGACCCAAAAAGCTTGTACAGTTAGGAAAGTAAACCTTTGGGTGCTTAACAGAGGGCCTTATCAATGAGAAGCCTGAGATTAAACTGTAAATATGAGAGACTTAATTTAGGCTTTGGTTTCTAACATTTCATGTTTGGAATGAGAGAAGAAGAGGAATATGGTCATAGGGCAGCTTCCTTTTATTTTCCCACGTTCTTCACCCCATTGATGATGTCTCATGGAAGCCCACATGTACGTGTGTAAATTTAGCTGGACTGTAACTTTGAACAGTTTCTAAATACTTACTCCTAGTGACTGAAATTAAAATTATTCTGTTAACACATACTGATAATATAGCACCATACCTGACACTACATTAACCCTCACTGTATTTAACATAAATTCCTAATTCTTTCTGTCCCTAGTATCTGTTGAAAGTCGGCATGCGCTTTGCAAAACATGCTAAAAAAAATTGAGTTCTTTCAACTTCTCCCTCTTCACTGTTTCTAAAACTGAAATATTGGTCTAGCAACTCTATGTCTGTTCAATTGTGTTAATATAAGACCATATCATGGTTTTTCATAGAGTTTAAGGCCAGAGGGATCACCAGATCATCTATGGAGTCTGACTTCCTGTATACCACAGGCCCCTAAGTGTCACCCAGCCAACCCCATAAGAAGCCCAACAAGCAGAATTAGACCAAACAATTACGGCTCTTGGGATACTAAACTATGTGTACCACAGGCAGAGACTGAGATGCACCAATGCCTGAGTCCCCTGAAATGGCAGGGAACTGATTAACTGAGATATAGCCAGATGATCCTAGCAAGTGACCTGCATCCCAGTGAGAAGTAGGCTTCGCTTTTTAATTTTAAATATACATTCTTTTAGTCAAGACAATAATTACTTGATACCATTCAAAGCTCTTGGGGGGGGGGGAAGGAAGACCCAGGAAAAGGTATAATATAGGGCTGAGTTAAAAGTTTCAAGAAATTAATAGACAAATAGATGAGTACAAGCCCCTCTTGATATTTTGAACAATATCCATTCTGGGCTGACATCTAGATGAGCCAAATATTAAGAGTTTTTCCTGTTCCAGACCTGAAAATCTAACCAGTTTGGGTTTGAGGTTTTGGGTTTTTTTACATTTCTCTCTTTGCGCTGTGTCTGCTGGACATTTCTTGTCTCACAAAGTATATACATCATCATTTTATGGGTAGCACCCTATCCAATTCACAGCCACGAAAAATGCACCACAGACCATAAAAACTGATCCTTCCGCCCACCCCCCGCCATGATATCTAGCTATTGTAGGATAGAGCATTAGTGGTATATGAACCACTGTTTTGGGGAGACTAGCCCCCTCCCAGCCCCACCCCTTCCACCTGAGGCCCTGCCCATACCCCCACCCCTTCCACCCCCCTCACCCACCAGAGCCCCAAGGCCCCTCTACCCACCCACTACAGCCAGAGGAGCCCCAGCCAAACTGCCCTGAGAGCCAGCCCACCTGCCCCCGTCGCCCTGAGCTCAGGGATGCCAGAAGGCCTGCCCCAGCCACACTGGGTGCTCCGAGTCCTGGGCTGAAACCCCAGGCCACCGGCCAGCCCGAGTACTGGCCTGACCTGCCCCAAGCCGCTGGCTGGCCCGAGCCACCAGCTGGCCAAGCCCCGAGTTCCAGGCCGCCGGCCTGAGCTCAGCCCCTGCTGGCTTCAGGGGATAGGAGGAGCGAGGGTGGGGCCACAGGCTGGGTTAGGGGATGCTTAACCTCCCCTGGCCTATTATAGCCACCTCCCGTGGGGAAGAGCAGAGATGGGAGTGCCCTAGCCAGGGGCTCCAACCATGTGCCAGGCTCCAGCTGCTAGTCCTGGCCAGGCTAGGAAGGAACAGGACTTTCTCTTCCGCTGCACGGGCTGCTCCCAGGCTGGGTCAGACCGGGAGCAGCCTGGAGGAAGTCCCATCCCTCCCCAGCCCCATGGGGACTATCAGCTAGACCCTGGTAGGAGTCCTTGGTTGGAGCGTCTCAGTCCTGCCTTTCCCCAGCTCAGGCATTAAAGGGACTTTGAGCTGGCTGGCAGGGGGAACGGTCCACGGCACACTCTGACCCCGGGGCCCTGGGCGGTTGCCATGGGTGAGGCCGGCTCTGCCCCTCCCCACCACAAGTAACGACCCCTCCATACCCAGTGACCTCAGTTCTGTGCTGCTGCTAGCCGCGGCGCTGGCTTTAGAGCTGCCAGCAGCAGCGCCGAAGTAAGGGTGGCAATCCCATGCCCTCCCTACAACAGCTTTGCGACCTCCCACCACCCCATTTTGGGTCAGGACCCCCAAAGTTACAACACGTAACATTTCAGATGTACGTCTCTGAAACCATGACACTGAATCTTTTACAAGTCCTATGATCATGAAATTGTCCAAAATGGATCGTGAATTTGGTAGGGCCCTAGTTATGGCTATAAATAAGGGATCAAATTCTTAACAAGTGTAAACAGACATAGTTCCATTGACTTCAATAGAGTTGCACTGCTTTACACCTGCTGTGGATCTGGCCAACAGTCTCTCTTACGTGATACAAACACTAACGATACGTATAATATATGTATCTAGATAGGTATACAGCTAGATTCTTACCTGAGTGTCACTATGATTGCCGACGGCTGGGCACATGCTGTTATAAGGGTAACTATGAACAGAAATATAAGGAATGGGATAAGTGTACTGCAGGTCCGATCACACTTCCCGGAAACAGCATAGCCATTCTCATTCAGGTATGTTTTGACAATAACCACCCTGAGCTGACCGCGCTGTCCCACAGTGGGTGGAGTGATAACTTGGCGGCTTTGGACACAGGCACATTCAGTATAATTTCTTACCTAAGAAAAGCAAAGAGGAGAAACATAAAATATTACAATTTTTGCCTCTTCAACCAAGACAAGGTGCAATATTTACCACATAGATGTTTTAACCTCTGTAGTGAAAAACTACCACTTAAAAAGGAATTCTGTGCATAAGAGATTATCCTAGTTTTAGGCAGGGTTGGAGATAATGCTCCTATTATTAAGTTTGCTTGACACTTCCCATCAGTCACTTATAACATTGCCAAACTTTAACCCTTTGTACTGAAACTTTCCATACTGTCTGCTTCAGGCTGGATTTTTTGGCACCTCTCAGCCAAAATGGTTCAGCCGTTTCTGAGAATGAGGCTAGGGAAAAATATGTGTTGCCCACATTAAACTTTCCTGTGATCTTTTCTCTGAACAGTTCTAATGCCCCCATGCTTTTGAAGACGGGATTTGAAATTTGGCAGGGATGTGGCCTTTGTGTGAGGGGTGTGTCTTCTGGCCTCCCAAAAATCTGCCCTCGTCTCACCAAGTGATAAGGCTTTGAAAAATCACAGTTTGCAGTTCAAAATCACAGTTGAAAAATCTCCGAAGAGTACATCTTCACTGAGCATGCTGCATCCCCTCACAGCTTCCTTGACCAGATTATACACATGCCTTCCCCATACAGCAACTGAGCAGTCTCCAGCCCAGGACTACAGAAGTGAAGCTGGGCTTTTTCTGTCATGGCTGCTCTGGCTACTTCGGGCTGGGGCCAGGCACTGGAAATGAAAGCAGAGAGTCTGGGACTGGGAGCTGGTCAGGGAAATGAAAAAGGATATTGAAACTGAATGCTGAGCGGGAGGAGGTTAGAGACTGGGACTAGGAACCAGGGGGGGGGCATGGGAGGGTGGAACCATATCTGACAAGAAGCTGGGGAGTACAGGGAGTGTATGTGAAAAAAAGACTTGGACAAGGAGCCAGGGAGGGGTAGATTGCAGCAAAGAGACAGGGAGGAGGAAGACTGAGGAGGGAGATTAGGATGGGGAGCGAGCACAGGGTGAAGCAGAGGAGGGAGAGGGGAAATAAGACTGGCTGGGCAAGGAGACCGGGATGAGATGAAAAGCCTGAGGAGAGGAAAAGGGTATTATGTGGCAAGGAGAATGGGGCTGGGACAAGGAGCCAGCAGCAGAAAAGTGAAAGGTCAGAGACAGATTGGAGGAGATGGAGCAGATGAGGTCAAGTTTGTGGGGGAATGGGCAGAAGTCTCCCCACTGGAACACATTCCCTTCCAGAGCCTGGACTGTGCAGAGGATGGGGACGCCCCAGCTAGCTCGGCCTTTGTACCTGGGTAGCCAGGCCTGGGCAGGGAGCTGAGGGGATAGGCTGCTGCCACCCCCAGCTGGGCTCTCTCTCAGGCAATTGCTGTGCTGCACAGAGTAGTGGCCACAATCAGCTGGCGTGCAAAGTGACTCCATACCACCCACTCTGCTCCTCACCCGGGCTGAGCAAACTGAAAATGTACTGGGGGGAGGCACAACGGGAGGAGGACACAGTGCCCCCCAGCAGGTAATTCTGGCAAGAAGAGTGTGGCGGCCCCGGGCCAGATGTAGGGTGGAGGGGGGGGGTCGCTGGGGAAGGCGCTAGAAGTAGGGTCCCTCTGCTCAGCTGGAGGTAGGGACATTGTCCATACCCCTCCCATGCTGAGGTGCCTGCAAAGGCATCTCTGGGGATACACTGGTGCTGTGAGTCTTCCTGGCTGGGACCAACCCCAGCCGGCTCAGAGTCACATGTGTCCCACTCCTGTGGCCCTAACCCTTCAGGAGCTGGTGGGATTGGCTGCTCTGACTCAGGAGGTGGGGCTGGAAGGTTCCTCCCAGAGGCGATATGTGGGGCAGTCACATGCCTCTCCCCTTTACATTGTTCCCCCCTAGTATCAGGAGGAACGAGTCATCTCTGAGAGACAGAAGTCTTTTTGATGAATCTAAAGTTTTCAGCTCTGCTGATGATCCATGTGGGTGTCACTACGGAAGGATGGAATAACTTTTTTCAAAAACAGAGGGAATTTTACACACACACACACACACACACACACACACACACACCTATGTTAAAAGAATATTGTTAAGATTGCAAAATAAAGCAATCAAAAGTTAGGAAATGCCAGAATTAAGGATGCCTGTATAACCTTAATTTGGCCCCCTTGTGTGTACTCATTATGATACAGATAATGAACATTTTCTTAGTATCATTTATTGCAGTTAATAGGTTGCTTAACCCATTTGAAATTCATGGTGAGAGGTAAGCATTCTCAAAGTTCCTCATGATTAAGTGAATTAATAGGTCTATTTTAATAATATGTGAAAAGCAGCAAAGGTCAGAACTATGAACTCTATTCAGCAAAGCACTTAACCATATACTTAAGACCTACTGAAACCAATGGGTCTTAAGAATGTGCTTAAAGTTAACTACACATGTAGTGGCTCTTGTGAATCCTGCCTATAGCAGTTAGTTACCACAAAATTGTTCCCAGCCCCCCAATATCTTGTAAAAGGAAGCTTTCAATTTTATCTGCACTACACTGATTATATGGACCTTCAAATTTAGAACTGTTCTGTCAAAACAAAATATCAAATTATTGTCCTAGGACTGACAGTTCTCATGTTTCACTGACTGGGCACAAGTTTGTAAGGCAAGAGTGTGACATGTAATGAATGTGGTTTCTAGATGCTGAAAGCAAGGTAACATTGTTTCACACGATTTCCTATCTTTTGTCTTTATTCTATTTTAATAGACAATACTTTATAGAAGACAATATTTTATAAAAATGTTTGGTCTTACATTGTTTTCTGTGTGTTATACCGAATGAATTCCAAAGCCTTGTTTTTTTGGCAGCCCAAAGTATTCTGTTGACAACAGGGACAGATGCTACTCTCACCAATTTTCCTGTGCACTGGCCCAGAAACTAAGTTTCCAGTCACCAACTTTCCTTTGTATTTTTCAAGCTTTAACCAGGCAACCCCCAAAGAAGCGTTCAGCCTCTACAACCCAGCGAACGTAGGACATGAGCAGAGGTCCAGGCCATCAATGAAAACACTCCGTGCTTGTGCTGCAAACCCAGCCTCCCTGCCACCTTGCTATAGTGGAGTACAATTCCTATAAGTGCCATGGTCCCATCGTCATTTCCAAATCATCCCTTTGGTTGGAGGTGGTTCACTCGGTGTAAGTTAATGTCGATATAGTTAGTGTCAACTTACGCTAAAAATTCCCATACTGCCAAAGGCTGGGATGATCTCATGGACAGCTGGTGTTCCTGCCATCTTGAAACATGGAGAAATTCATGCACACAGGGCACTTGTGGATAAGATTCTCTGAAGCTAGGAAGAAGCGTACCTTGGAGCTGGTACGCTCATCCTTTCTGTACCCATCCACTCCAGCTGAGATCTGCTGACCTTTGGCCCCACAGTATAAATTTACATCATTTTGGATGGGTTTGTTATACACTCACCCCTATGCTATGATTTCCACCATTGATGCAGCCAGCCAAACATGGATTGAAGTATGTTATTCCATCTGATCCACAGACGGGCTCGTACTCATGAATTTTGCATCCACAGTTGACATTACAGCTACCTGTCAGATTTCTGTGTGCCATAGTGAGTGTAGGACTGAGGAGAGGAAAAATAGATGACATTAGAACAGCATGTTAAACAAGTACGTGCAGAGAAACTCCCCCTTTCATCTCTCCTGTGGTTATTTAGTGATTTTTAGTATTAAAAAGGTTGCATGGACTCTAGTTATTTATTTGGATGTGAGTAACATAAAAGCATGCTCATCCTGGTCTCTAAGCATCAGTGACTTTAACTGAAAACTGCAATGCAAAAATCATAACAAAACTGAAAGAGCACATCTCCTTCCAGGTACCACCCACCAGTCAGAAACCATAATGATTATTTCTATTTTGTACTGCAGTAGTACATATGAGCCCCAGTCCTAGATCAGAACCCCAGTATACCATGGAAACCTTAATCTCCCAATCCTGCCCATTCCCAAAAAAGCCTCAACTGCCTGAGCCCTCCCTAAAACCTCTCTCAAACAAAGGACTTTGCTGTGTGCCCTTAAGGTCAACAGATTGTTTTAGGTGAGGGGGGTGAATGCCAGAACTGAGACACACACAGGGAGCATTGTGCCAGCAGCAACATTTCTCATCTGCCACAGAAGCACCAGCCAATCTCGGCTGCAGCAGAATGGCACAGGGAGAGAGACAATCTCTGATAGGCCATTTAGATCTTAAATGTCAGAACCAACACCTCAAATTCCACCCTGAAGCCAACAGGCAGCCAGCAGATCCCAGAGCACTGGCATCACGTGCTCGTTGCAGGAGACGACACTGAACAAGCAAGCTATCCCACAGTGCAGCAGCTTCAGTGTCCGAATCGATTTAAGGTGTAGTCCCACTAGAGTCCACTGTTGCAGCCCATTCTAGAGATGATCGAGAAGCAGACTGCAATAGCACAGCCCACATCCGAAAGGAAAGGTCACAGCCTTTCAGCCAGATGGAGACAGAAAAAGCAGTCCAAGTCAATGCTGCTGTTGGATTATTTAAATGTAGAACTCATCAAAATGTCAACTGTGGTTAAAATTGATGGCCAAATACCTTCGATCGGAGTGGGGGCTGATACAGCCTCCTTCAACTCATCCAGTTGCTCCCCCAACCACCATAATCACCTCAGTCTTATCCAGACAGAGTCTCAGTCATCCATGTCTCATTCTCACCCAGACACTGGGAAAGACACTTGGCCACATTCTGCATTGGGCAAGATATAGTTATAAAGCTGGGTGTCACCAGCATATTGAAAACTGCTTTGACCCACATCTAGTTATAACTGCTTTAGGAAGGAAAACCAGAGTAGAACATTGTCATAGCCTGTTAGAACCCTCCTGGTAGAAGATCATGGGCTCAACACTATCCTTTGGGAGCTCTCAGCAACAAAGGCACAAAGCCACTGAAGAGGGGCCCTGTCCACTCCCAGCACAGACTGCAGTCCTGTCAACACTTCATCACTGACTGGAATGAAAGCAGCTGGGAGATCTAACAATATCAACATGAACAGCTGTTCTTCATCGATTGCCAAGAGAAGGTCATCAGTCAATGCAACAATATGTTATTTTGCATTATGAGGTACTGCAAGTGTGTCAACAACATGTGTGTAATGTAAGATGAGGGCATGGTGTGTGATATGAAGAAATTACAAAATGGGACTAGCTTTCAGAGATGAGTACCAGAAATCACTGAATGAAAACAAAGGTGGAAATAGGATTATAAACAGTGAGTATAGAGAAACAAAGTTTAAAAAAAAGAGTCTATCATAAAAAGCCTTTGCATATTAATTTAAATTAGACACCTCTTGGAAGAGCTATCACAGACGATAAAAGGAATAGATGCCTACCCCGCTCTTCCTTATTAATGAGAAAGTATAAGATATAATGATTTAATTTTTTTGCTAGACAGATTTATTTGGAAAGACTTAATTAATTTCATGTGTATATTTTGTTTAAATCTTTGGGCTGATTGTGAAGCATACTCTTCCAGTATTTGATAGTCATTATTTGAACTGTGTTGGTTAGTTGTGATTGGTGAAATAAGTCACATAGCCTTGTTTCTTGGATCAGGCGGTAAGAACCTCTCGCATGAATACTCCCATGTGCAAATCTGAAATTTAGTTTTCGCAAATTCTCATGCATGCTACTTTGAAATTTGCTTCCTATTAGCATTCTTTCTAGTACTAACACTTGACTGCATTAATGTTCATGAAATACAAACACAAAAGGGGCTTGTCATGACCAAAGTGAAATCATTTACAAATTCTAATGAATACTTGGGATCGCCATTAAGAGTATCTCATTTATCAGTAGTTACCTCACGACAGTAAATGAGATACAACTGTTATTTCCTGATCTGAGTATACAGCCCATTTACGATGGTGACCGGCTTTTTAATGGAGCAGATTATACTTACATCTGTATTTCTATTGCACTTTCTGGGCTTTGCACTCTGTTTCCATATTGCTTAATTCATTTAATAAGTGGAGGAACAGAGGAAGCAGCATAGAAAGACATTGGTTTATTGCTTCCTGTGATTTTCTGTATTGGATCTGTAAATTTCAATTGGCTCTGCAATACTGAGAGCTGAAGTGAATTCTTTAAGCCAACAGAAACTTATTTCATTTTGCTCATATATAACACAGCTTATAGATTATTGGCTTTTTGGCCAAGGCACTAAGAGGAGTCTCCTCCCCTTCCCACAGTGGACCCAGTGGCAGGAGAACTAGTGTAGTTCAGGCGGTCAGGGGCAGAAGGTCTGTCCCTCTATGTGGCATGGAGGCCCAGTGTGGTAAGTAAACACAGAGTGCAAAGGGTGGCATGAGCAGAGAGCAAGGGAGTGGAAGGTGGGGTAGAAGGACAAATGAAAGCTACGTCAACAAATTTACTTTTTTCATAAAGAGTTTATTACCGAAATGGGGTCTGCCTAAAATATTGCTGATGGCTTATTACTATCACTAAGGATGTCTATCGTATGGCAGTTGGTGTCACTCAGCTTGATGTTTTTAGAATATTTAGAAAAGCTGGACGTGCACAAGTCCATGGGGCCGGACGAGTTGCATCCGAGAGTGCTGAAGGAATTGGCGGCTGTGATTGCTGAGCCATTGGCCATTATCTTTGAAAACTCGTGGTGAACCGGAGAAGTCCCGGATGACTGGAAAAAGGCTAATGTAGTGCCAATCTTTAAAAAAGGGAAGAAGGAGGATCCTGGGAACTACAGGCCAGTCAGCCTCACCTCAGTCCCTGGAAAAATCATGGAGCAGGTCCTCAAAGAATCAATCCTGAAGCACTTGCATGAGAGGAAAGTGATCAGGAACAGCCAGCATGGATTCACCAAGGGAAGGTCATGCCTGACTAATCTAATCGCCTTTTATGATGAGATTACTGGTTCTGTGGATGAAGGGAAAGCAGTGGATGTATTGTTTCTTGACTTTAGCAAAGCTTTTGACACAGTCTCCCACAGTATTCTTGTCAGCAAGTTAAGGAAGTATGGGCTGGATGAATGCACTATAAGGTGGGTAGAAAGCTGGCTAGATTGTCGGGCTCAACGGGTAGTGATCAATGGCTCCATGTCTAGTTGGCAGCCGGTATCAAGTGGAGTGCCCCAAGGGTCGGTCCTGGGGCCGGTTTTGTTCAATATCTTCATAAATGATCTGGAGGATGGTGTGGATTGCACTCTCAGCAAATTTGCGGATGATACTAAACTGGGAGGAGTGGTAGATACGCTGGAGGGGAGGGATAGGATACAGAAGGACCTAGACAAATTGGAGGATTGGGCCAAAAGAAATCTGATGAGGTTCAATAAGGATAAGTGCAGGGTCCTGCACTTAGGACGGAAGAACCCAATGCACCGCTACAGACTAGGGACCGAATGGCTAGGCAGCAGTTCTGCGGAAAAGGACCTAGGGGTGACAGTGGACGAGAAGCTGGATATGAGTCAGCAGTGTGCCCTTGTTGCCAAGAAGGCCAATGGCATTTTGGGATGTATAAGTAGGGGCATAGCGAGCAAATGGAGGGACGTGATCGTTCCCCTCTATTCGACATTGGTGAGGCCTCATCTGGAGTACTGTGTCCAGTTTTGGGCCCCACACTTCAAGAAGGATGTGGATAAATTGGAGAGAGTCCAGCGAAGGGCAACAAAAATGATTAGGGGTCTGGAACACATGAGTTATGAGGAGAGGCTGAGGGAGCTGGGATTGTTTAGCCTGCAGAAGAGAAGAATGAGGGGGGATTTGATAGCTGCTTTCAACTACCTGAAAGGGGGTTCCAAAGAGGATGGCTCTAGACTGTTCTCAATGGTAGCAGATGACAGAACGAGGAGTAATGGTCTCAAGTTGCAGTGGGGGAGGTTTAGATTGGATATTAGGAAAAACTTTTTCACTAAGAGGGTGGTGAAACACTGGAATGCGTTACCTAGGGAGGTGGTAGAATCTCCTTCCTTAGAGGTTTTTAAGGTCAGGCTTGACAAAGCCCTGGCTGGGATGTAACTGGGAATTGGTCCTGCTTCGAGCAGGGGGTTGGACTAGATGACCTTCTGGGGTCCCTTCCAACCCTGATATTCTATGATTCTATGTACTCTATTGTTTATCTTTTATGAGGTATATGGAGGCTTGGCAGAAATCAATTTTTATATGTAATTTTGATGGCTAGTATCGACCTTTATTTTAAGCATTATTTGAGATTTTTATTTATTTCAATTTTCACAGGTGCACAAAAGTATGAGTTTTAAGCATTTTTTAAATTTTTATCTTTTTAAATTTTCACAGTTGTGGGGAATTATTGGGAGGGGAGGTCAGACAATTATTTAATGACAGTAGACATTGATATTCAAAAAGTGAAAGCTTTATAAACCATTAAAACACAAAATGTCGACACTGCATGTCAAAATATACAAAGGAAATATACTTAAATCAACAAATCATACCTGATTTTACTATTTATCTGCTAATCCATTTGTAACAAGCCTAATTTAAAAGTGTAAATCACTGGATTTTGACTCTAGTAAGTTCTCAAGTAGCTTTTTTCTTGCTTTGACGATCTGTAATTTTCTATTATTATCGACAAA